AAGAAGAAGAAGAAGGAGAAGGAGAAGAAGATAATAATAATAATAATAATAATAATAACGCAACTTGTATTTGCAGACCACAAAATTTCCTATACCATTCCACACTATAACACACCACGACATTCCTACTCACCTCAAAGAGTCGGACGACATTCTTCTCACTCAGACGTCCTTTAAAAGGCAACTTGCCAGAGGTCATATCTCTACAGAAGTAGGTGCCCGTGTCTTTGACCTCTGCTGACCTCAGTACTAGAGTATGGCTGTCAGTGACGTAGACCCTGTTCAAGGACTGGTCATCATGGGTGTCCAAATCAACTTCACGAGCCTGGGGGTGTTAAGGAAGTCATTATTTTTCCGGACCGGCAGGGCAGGTCAGATTTCAAAATGGCCAGTAATTAATTTTTCTTGGGTGCTTTCTATGCGTCTAAAAGTCACCTAAGGGGTGGTCATCTTGGTTTTGAGCAATTTTAAGGGACGAGTACCAATTGGCCCTCTTTGCAAAAATTGTAAAATTTGTTATGTTGATGTTTAACATGCATTTGACTTCCACAACCTCCAACTGACCCTGGACATTCTCTAAGCCCAACATAATAATGTGTATCACGACGCGGTGGAACCAGGCGCTGGTCAATTTTTGGCTACAAGGGGTTATTTGGTTACAGACTTACGTGTTCATCTGCCTTGCTTTTTGATGAAAAAACAATCCCATCTATCTTGAATAAAAGTCACGATATATGCTGTTTAAAGGGGCAGGGGTCGCCTGATGTAAAAAGTAAAATGTAATTTGCTTGAAAGGGCCGCCAAAGCTTGGTGACTTCGAAAGCTTGAGTATCTTAGAAAACTACAAATTTACATTTTTGTGCGTTTGAATGACATTTTTTCTGTGAAACATACTCTGAAATGTGTTCTTAAATGGACATAAGAAGTGTTGAGCTCAAAACAAACAAAATCGACAAAGATTGCTCCATTCTATAATGGTCCATATAAAAAATTATCCGACGGGTCGTGGTTAGCCTAACCTAGATTTAGACATTCATATCTGCCACAAACTGACCCGCATTAAGGCTTGCAGCAGCTATTTTGGCCACCTTAAGGAATCCTGTAAAGTAGTCATGCGTATCAGTGCTGGTCTGCGTGATTTTGTTTACTTGCGTGGTCCCTAAAGTGCTGGTATTCTCTTAAATAATTCAGCAAACTAGTAGCCTGACCCCATTACACAGTCGATCAGGGCCTTTCACGCCAAACGAGGGAGGTACAAAGACAAGAGTAGGTATTAAATATTAATCTATGGATTTTCCAGTCTTGAAAAAAGATACCACGAAATAATTTACGTAATGTATTCATCGTGCAATGGGAAGACTTGCGTATCATTAGACAGGGTCCCAATCTACCTGCGTTGTGTTGGTGGGATTGTCAAGCGGTTACGACAACCTCAGCTTACAACGCCCTTGGCATTGGTGAATAAAAAATCTGGAACAAGCTCAGGTCCTCGGCGTGCAAGACCGTACCTGGGAGTCAATTTTTGTCAGGCACTAATTAAGTTGTCAGTATAATGAATAATTGAAACCATCTTCGAACTTGGCTCGTGAGGGGGCACGTGAGAAAGCAGTAGCCAAAATCTGGACTACAGAAAAGCAACATGCTGGTAGTTCTACAAAGGCAGTTCTGCTTGACAAATGACAATTATAGTCCATTGTCCTGCAGAACTGCCTTTGTAGAACTACCACTGATTTCAAAAGGTGAAAGAGAATTGGGTTTGAGTTTCAGTAAAGAGAAGCACAAGTACATTGTCACAACAACAGTCATATAGTGCAGGGAAGATGCAAGAAAGATTGACAGAAACCACAGAGGGGAAAAACAGAAGTAGTTTTGTTTTTGTTTTCTGTTTTGTTTTGTTTGGGATTTTTTTTTGGGGGGGATAGGTGAAAGTATGAAGGTATACCTTTCACAAGTGTAATGATAATGCTTTAAAAAATGAAACTCCACCTCTGTAGCAGTTGAATGATATTGGGAGATTTTTTAAAAAGGTGGCGGAGAAAGACAGAAAACGAAATTATTTTTTGGGACAAATAGATAGAAAGAAATAAGAAACAAACGAGTGTGAGCTGTGTTTGTATAATTCCGAATAATATTAAATAAAATATCAAATTCAAAAGAGATTTTAAAAATCTTCATTGTCTTTAAAATGTATTTGCATTCGTTTTCACAGCACATTGGCTGGGGGTTTGGAGGTTGAAAAAATATGTATGTTTCAACACGATGCGGAGACCGTATCACCCTTTCCAAACATGCATTTTTTTCTATCCGGAAGAAATGCGGAATGAGAAAAGAGGGATAAGTATGAAAAAAGCAGTAGGCGTATGGGTTGTGGGAGGAACAGAAATCGATTATTCGAAGTGTATTATTTCGAAACTCTTTTCGCTCGAACTTTATTTACAAGTAATATATCTATACAACAGTAACAAAAGGACTACACACACTCACACACACACACACACACACACACACACACACACACACACACACACACACACACACACACACACACACACACACACACACACAGCGAGAAGGACATCACCAGGCGGCCATAATGTCATTCGAGTCACCCGGGAATGTTGATTCTAAAAATAGAAAAAAACAACTAAACAATAAATGGGTAACAGAGAAAGATCAGGGAAACGTAGCTTTTTAAAGAGCATTCGAGCAAAGGAATGAATGGAGAACCACGATCGCCGATGTCTGTCGCAGACCTGACACTGGATGAATTATTACCCAAACCAAATTTGGACAAATCGGTTTCAGCGCAATCCGACGAGGAATCAGAACGCAGTGCTCGCTCTACCTATATACCTGAAGGTGTCATCTCTGACTCAAAAGTTGACCTGTAATGACCCTCCATCTTTCACGGTCGCGAACTGCCGTTGTACATTCTGCCATATCCAGGCAATTTCATTTTCTTATGTTGTCCGTCCATGTTATTCTGTGTCTTCCTCTTTCTCTCCTGCCCCACATCTTTCCTTCAAGCACCTCTTTCACAATGGTCTCGTGTCTTTTTAAATGGCCATAGTATTGTATTTTTCTACATAAAAAAATTATTTTGCTCAGCAAGGTCTGTCTTGTGTGTAGAATCTGACGCACCTCTTCAGTGCTTGCTTTACGCCCACTCTAAATAACTGCAAAATGATTATTCGGACTCGAGTCCGATTAAACAAAAATTATATTCGGAGTCTGCCAGCATTTATGAAAAAATGTTCAATTATATTGATAACAATTGAGGCGTGAGCTTTAATATCCAGTGACTAGATCTATCTAACCTGGGCCTCCCTGCCACAGGAAAGAAATAAAACATTTTTTTTCGGTCCGAACAGAAAAGACCCATATTCATGTTCGAGTTCGAATAGATTTTTTTTTAAATATCTAATTTGGGGTGCCCACTACGGCTGGATCGGTCGCCTGAAACTGAAAACAAACACGTATGTTTTTAATAGGGGATGCCCACTTACGCGATCGGGTCGGGTCGGGTCTGGTCGGGCCTATCGGGTCGGGGTTTCAGTGCACACTACAGCCCCGCCGCGATTGTACTCGACGACCTGGAAGTTAAAGTAGAGAAACCTTTAACCTACATGCGACTACACAGAGGGCGTAAACCCGGGCTACAATTGGCTGGACCTTTGACCCATGAATACATAAAAATATGCCT